TAGTAGTAGTAGTAGTAGTAGTAGTAGTAGTAGTAGTAGTAGTAGTAGTAGTAGTAGTAGTAGTAGTAGTAGTAATCTCAATCGCCTGTTGAAGCATCTCTCTTGGACTGAAATTTGACTTGAAAGTCTGTGTGACTTCTGCACAAACGGGGGCACAGCAGACATGATTTTGGCAGCCAGACATATCCACGAAAAGTGCGTAGAGCAGAATAAGCCGTATACATGAACTTTGTTGATCTAACAAAGGCTTTCGATAATGTTAGTTGGGAAGTCCTAGCGAAGTACGGTAGCCCCTCAAAATTCATTACTATGGTTCGCCAATTTCACGACAACACGAAAGCCAGTAATGAGGTAGTGCTTGATGAAGCCCACGTGGGACGCTCAATGTTAAAAACAATCAGGAAACGACAGAAGCAGTTTTTGGTACACCTGAATAGACATAACGGTCTTGAACATCTAGCTCTCACTTGCAAAATTGAAGGCAAACGGGACAGGGGTAGGCACAGAACAACATACTTAGGGAACCTAAACAAATGGGTAACATGGAAAGATCAGAGAAACGTAGCTTTTTTAGAGCATCCCAGCAAAGGAATGAATGGAAAACCATGATCGCCGATGTCTGTCGAAGATCTGGCACTGGATGATGATGAAAGCCAGTGTCAAGAGCACTGGTGATATGTTGAAGCATTTTGTGTGACAAATGAAGTGAAGCAGTGCTGTATATTGGCACCAACACTTTTCAACATCATGTTCTCAGCGATGAGGCAGGAAGAGTCCAAGAGTTTCCCTGCTGACGTTGATATCAGGCTCAGACTGGACGATAAAGTCTTCAACTCTCGTAGGCGGTAGGCAAAAACAAAAGAAACTGGTGTGATGCATGTCTTTGATTAGCTATTTGCCAACATTTTGTTCATTTTTTGCTCATGAAGAATCCAAAATGCAAAACTGTATCATTTTAAAAATGTAAGTGAGAACTTTGGACTTACAAAAAGCACTGCAAAGACAGACGTTCGCCTCTAGCCTGTCTATGGTGATACAGAGACTCTCCTTCCTCAAATCAAAATACATAGAACAACACTGAACAATGTTAATAGCTTTAAATATCATGGCAACACACTATCTTCAAATGCCTACTTCAATGCAGAAATAGCTTGGGCATCCTTTGGAAGACTCCGAGCAAAGGTTTGGGACAGCTGTGGCATTTGCACAGAGACAAAACTGTAATTCTACAATGATGTGGTCCTCTCAACCCTATTGTTTGGGGCTGAGACCTGGGCGATGTACCAAAGCCATGACCAGAAGCTTGGTCATGTCCATATAAAATGCCTCAGGAGAATTCCTGACATCAAACGGCAGGATAAGATAACACACACCGAAGTTATCAAAAGGACAAGTGCTGAGAGTCTAAGCTCAAAATTAATCAACTTCGATGGGCTGGCCATGTCCTAAGAATGCATGATTCCAGAATTCCAAAGTATTATTCTATTCTTAACTGTCCTCTGGAAAGCGTAAGGCTGGTTCACCAAACAAAAGCGTTACAAGAACACCTTGAAAATGTCCTTGAAAGACTTCAACACAAATCCTTTGACATTGGAGAGTCTTGCTTTTGTCAGACCCAGCTGCAGAGCAGCAGTCACAGTGGGGAGCAAAACAAGGAGGCTATACAGTAAGGTCCCTGGGAGCATATGTGAGGCAGCGTGGTGGAATCAGGCTCTCGTCAAAATAATGAAATCGAAGA